TCACACAAAACTTCGAAACATTCCTTGAATATCATACGCACACTTTTCTCTTTTGGGGTTTCTGGTGGCTACCTATTAAAGGAAAGAAGGACTTTGAGCTAGGAAAAAATTGTCCTCTTTTTCATCTTTTGTAAATCACTCATTTAGTACGTCCCAAATCTTTCATCAGGTTTCGCAGCACATTTTAAAGATATTGATTGACGAATGCTGTGTCCTAAACTTTCATTGTGGAGTTTTCATTCCTCATCCTCATGTTTATTGGCCCATTACTCTGTCAATAATGAGTATATTTCAGGCACAGATTAAAAATATGTAAATAGACATATATTTTTTCAAAAATTTCAGAGTTTAATTTTTTTAAATGGAAATTTTTTATTACACTATACATGGATAGAGGAAAATTACGTTCGTTTCAAGACAATTTTAACACTTATAAAATACGTTTGCAAAACAAGAAGAACAAGAGGCCCATGGGGCCACATCGCTCACCTGAGCACATTGGCTAGGCAAAAGCACAAATCAGTTCAGTAAAGATTACCGGGGGGGGGGGGGGGGGCTTGAATTTTAAACTACCTTCCATGTCAATTTAACAAATGGTTTTGTTGTACTTGATAAGGTTTAAAAAAAAATTTCCCATATATTCCTTTGTAAAAATTTGATCCCCAATTGTGGCTCCTCCCTATCCCAGGGGTCATCATTTGAACAAACTTGAATCTACACTATCTGAGGATGCTTCCATATCTCTATGACTAAACTCAGTTTTTCTGTTCTTGAGAAGAAATATTTTTTATTCTATATGTTCTTATGTAAAACTTTCGATCCCCCATTGGGCCCCACCCTACCCCCACAAAGATGGATCCAGGGCCAGCGCGCCGGGCGTGCGCCCCTGTTTGAATTTTTTTATGTAGAACTTATATGTCCATTATCCTAAAATCAAGGAAAAACATCTCTTCTTTGTAAATATTTGTCAGCTTCCCATACCCCCACCAAGGCCTTGCTCTAGACCCACTGGGGGCTTCAATACAGCCCCCAGACCCACTGCCTCTACTCCCACCCCGTTACGAAATTCCTGGATTTACACTACCTGAGGATGCTTCCATATCAAAATAACTAAACACGATTTTCAGTTCTTGAGAAGATATTTTCCTATATGTTCCTATGTAAAATTTTCAATCCCCCATTGGGCCTCACCCTACCCCCGGGGGTCATCATTTGAACAAAATTGAATTTACACTATCCCTGAGGATGCTTCCATATCAAAATGACTTATCATGGCTTTGCAGTTCTTCTTCAGAAGATATTTTCCTATATATTTCTATTTAAGACTTTGATCCTCCATTGTGGCCCCACCCTACCCCCGGGGGTCATGATTTGAACAAAATAGAATCCACACTACCTGAGGATGCTTCCACATAAATATGACCCATCATGGCTTTGTGTTCCTGAGAAGAAGATTTTTTTAAAAGATTTTTCCTTTACATTTCTAAGTAAAACATTGATCCTCCATTGTGGCCCACCCTACCCCCGGGGGTCATGATTTGAACAAACTTGAATCTACACTACCTGAGGATGCTTCCACATAAATATGACTCATCATGGCTTTGCTGTTCTTGAGAAGAAAATTTTTAAAGATTTTTCCTATATATTTCTATGTAAAACTTTGATCCTTTATTGTGGCCCCGCCCTACCCCCGGGGGTCATGATTTGAACAAACTTTAATCTACACTACCTGAGGATGCTTCCATATAAATATGACTCATCATGGCTTTGCTGTTCTTGAGAAGAAAATTTTTAAAGATTTTTCCTATATATTTCTATGTAAAACTTTGATCCTCCATTGTGGCCCCGCCCTACCCCCGGGGGTCATGATTTGAACAAACTTTAATCTACACTACCTGAGGATGCTTCCATATAAATATGAATCATCATGGCTTTGCTGTTCTTGAGAAGAAGATTTTTAAAGATTTTTCTTATATATTGCTATGTAAAACTTTGATCCTCCATTGTGGCCCCGCCCTACTCCCGGGGGTCATGATTTGAACACACTTGAATCTACACTACCTGAGGATGCTTCCATATAAATATGAATCATCATGGCTTTGCTGTTCTTGAGAAGAAGATTTTTTGAAGATTTTTCCTATATATTTCTATGTAAAACTTTGATCCTCCATTGTGGCCCCGCCCTACCCCCGGGGGTCATGATTTGAACAAACTTTAATCTACACTACCTGAGGATGCTTCCATATAAATATGACTCATCATGACTTTGCTGTTCTTGAGAAGAAGATTTTTGAAGATTTTTCCTATATATTTCTATGTAAAACTTTGATCCTCCATTGTGGCCCCGCCCTACCCCCGGGGGTCATGATTTGAACAAACTTGAATCTACACTACCTGAGGATGCTTCCATATAAATATGACTCATCATGGCTTTGCTGTTCTTGAGAAGAAGATTTTTGAAGATTTTTCCTATATATTTCTATGTAAAACTTTGATCCTCCATTGTGGCCCAGCCCTACCCCCGGGGGTCACGATTTGAACAAATTTGAATCTACACTACCTGAGGATGCCTCCATATAAATATGACCCATCATGGCTTTGCTGTTCTTGAGAAGAAGATTTTTAAAGATTTTTCCTATATATTTCTATGTAAAACTTTGATCCTCCATTGTGGCCCCGCCCTATCCCCGGGGGTCATGATTTGAACAAACTTGAATCTACACTACCTAAGGATGCTTCCACATGAGTTTCATCTTTCCTGGCCCTGTGGTTCTTGAGAAGAAGATTTTTAAAAGATGCTATTAATTTTTCACCAATTCTCTATTATCTCCCCTTGAAAGAGGGCATGGCCCTTCATTTGAACAAACTTGAATCCCCTTCACCCATGGATGCTTTGTGGCAAGTTTGGTTGAAATTGGCCCAGTGGTTCTGGAGAAAAGATGAAATTGTGAAAAGTTTACAACGCCGACGACGCCGCCGACGACAACGACAGACAACGGACAAATTTTGATCAGAAAAGCTCACTTGAGCCTTCGGCTCAGGTGAGCTAAAAAACAACAAATCTATCATTCAATATTTACAAATTTACTTTCAAACTTAAGTCCTTCATTACTTATTGATTTACTGTAAAAATATCGAAAGGTGAAGCTTACCTCAATATTGCATAGGAAAACAAGACATAAGCATGATAAAAACATTTCATGTTTACATTTCTCGAGTACTTGAAAACCAACTATGACGTCACACGTAAGCGAAATAAGACATAACTACATAAAAGTTCCGTTATATATCTAACAAGCAAAAACAAGAAAACATTGATGTAACCATCAATTGTCGCCCGGGAAATAAATAAAGTAAACAATGGATATGAGTCTTGATCATCAAACCGCTTCGATATGTGTGAAAAAGGCATGTGTCTAAATGATGGAGACAATAGTCGAGAATATTTTGAAAACTTGTAGTCGGATGAAAATCGAACAAAAACGATACCCTTTTAAACTTTATCAATTTCTCAAGTAAATGTTGGCTGCATAAAATATAATTTGAAACCAGACACATGCATTACCTATTTTCAAAAATGTCTTTCACTTTAAGAATATAAAACACGAACTGTGTAAAGTACATTTTTACGTTTTTATGCGATAAGTAAAATACGATGTTTTAAAAAAAGGGACCTGTCGTTTTTTCGATAGTAAATGATAAGCAACTTTATATAATAAATATGAAAAACATATATATTTTTACAGATTCACTTTATGGAAGTAAATATATTGTGTATCTCGTAATTTATAAAGGGAAAGAACATTCTGATTAACAATCTTTTTAATGTTTAGAAAACCTTTAATTCTGAATAACTTCTCCCGCCTCAATCCCCATATACCAACACTTAAACTTATATGTATAGAGCAGCCCAGTCCTCAGGGCTGCAATAATTTTTGTGTTCCTGTTTCACAAATTACCTCTCCGTGTCCTGATTATAACCTGTTTTTACGAAAAAATACTGCTCGTGTAATCACCGAGTACGATCTTGCTGTACTAACAGATTGTGTATGACGTCACTGACCGCGTAGTGTAGGGAAAGTGGACTTATCTATTTCATATTTTATGTTAACAGGAATATTAAAACTTTTTAATGTTTTTGTATAAGAAGTGGGCCCGGAAGTAAAGGAAATTGATAAAAATTTACATTTGTCAAGTACTGATGATTTAGATATTGTATTTGAACCAACATTATCAGAGTCTATGTTAAATTAAGTCACGGGACCATGTGCCCTTTAAAGACCTATGTATGGATGCCGCAAAATTTTGCGATTCCTTTTATCTTTGACCTGTTCATTTTAATTTCAACTCTCTATGGTAATTTCGTTATTCATAATTATATATATATCGTTAAAAAATTGGTTTAGTTCTACAGTTATTATTCAAATGAAATCATGGTAAATGAAAAAAGCAACAAATCGTCATAATCGATGTTGCTTTTTTAAAAAACAAATAAGAGAGTTGAGATCTTGAAACAGCTTCGTGGTATTTAGTGCCTTAAACGTAGGAAACATGAGTGTGTTGTTGTATGTAGTAAAAGTATCTATAAGTCCTATATACAGCTGTAAAACGTGTTATGATGCGCTTCTTTCACGTAGGGAATTGAAAATAAAGCATTAATAAAATCAAAACAAAGCTTAAAACACTTCTTGTAAGGTTTTCGCTTTTATTTGTTTCGGATAAACTGACAATTCAAAATAAAAACTTGATAAAACACAACATATTTCTACGTTTGATTAAAAAAACCGCATGATTCATACCAAAAATAATAAAATAGATGACTGAATATGCTTAGTTCAAAACAAAAAGTTATATCCGATGCATAGTTTTTTCTCAGCAAACAAAAGATATTTTGCGCTAATTATGCAATATTTGTACATCGCATTTACAGTGCAAATCTTACATGCAGCTTCAAGTAACACGTAATCGTCGAAACATAAAAATTGATTTCGGATACACAATGAGAATTTCTATATTTACGATTTACGACAACAAAGTCTTTGTGATAACTGTTCTCTAAACGTCTCGTTTAGGAAGGCATAAATGACTGGATTAACAACATTGTAAATGAAGTACATGTATATGACAATGATATTTAATGGAAGGACCTTAAGGGCCACTAACCATGAAGGAAGAAAAGCTACAATAAACACCAAAGCCACGATAGACAGCATAAATGCTGTTTTAATGTTTGCAATGCGCATCTTCTCAAGTTTGGCTTTTGACACGCCCCCTGGTTTTAAAATGACGTCCCTATCGCTGATCTGTGTATTTCCGTTCTTTTGCACGGCTTTATCACAGGTTTCTTCTACTTTGTGATCATCCTGAGCATTTGTCACGTCTGTATTGTTTAGAACAGTGATCTCGGTCTGTTCTGCAAAGCTCTGGGAGCTCCATATTCCACAGCAGTTGTCAGACAAGAACATTTCAAACTTCTTTCTTCGACGAGCTAAAACGGATCTGTATATTAAACAGTACAAAATAATGACAATCAGGGCGCAAATTCCAAAAAACGACGAGTAGATTTTCTGATATATGAAAAAGAATTCTGTTTCTTGTGGCAAACAGACGTATTTATATTTTGTAATGTTTTGTATTGATGAGTTTGGCAAATTAGTGACATTTTGGTACATTGTTGTTACTATCTCCTTTCCCTCAGGAACAGGTGTTATTCTGTAGTGAGAGCAACATATAATCCCAAGAAGTACAGCAAATGCACAGAGACTCCCAACAACGATTTCTGCTCGTCGTATTGTCATTGCATGTTTGAAAGGATACACAATGCATAAATATCTGTCCACCGCTATTGCTACCATCACAAATGCCGAAAACGGAACAGTTGTCGTAATAAGAAATAAATAAATCTGACATATTATGTCATACTTCAGTTCAAATTTGACTGCTTCTGTGGCGATGGTAAAGGGAATTGTCACACAACACGTGACAAAATCGACACCAGCCAGAGTTAAGATGAAGATGGTCGACGTCAGCTTGTTCTTGTACCGGGAAAAGACGTATAAAACGAGGGCGTTGCCGATCGTTCCCACCACCGAGAATATAGACATGTAGCCAATAGCGATGTACACCTGGATCTCAAGCTCTGCATCCTCCATCTTGTTCTTTGATAATATGCAAAAAGTATACCTACAAAATTAATTATTTCAATTGTAATAAGATAAGATATACGAAGAATATCAGGTGTCTAAAAAAAACAAAGAGATAAGAGCAGTAATTATATGATTAAAATCTCTTACTACTCCAGAAAAATTCAGGAGGAACAATTTTGAAGAGAGGTGCTAAAGAAGGCATTAGTATAGAAGATCGACAGAACATGCTCCTGATGAAAACTGGATTATTCTATAGATAGTGTTAAATAAAAGAATGATGATAGATTTTGATTATTGTACAGGCATATTTTCTTTACATTTATCTATCAAAAAGATTTTAACCGATTACAATAGGCGTTAACATTATTTAACAAAAGTTGGTAACTGTTGCTTACATCAAATGCTACACGGTGATATAATACTGTAACAAATTTAAAAAAAAAAAAAAGAACTCTGTAATGTTATGTCTACGTTTGTTCCAAAAAATTGGCATTGAGTATTTTAATATCCATTAATTGTTGATGATTTTAAATTTTCAGTTAACCATAAGTCTATGATGAGAACCATAAGTCTATGATGAGACTGTAGCTCTACAGGGATGATTTAAATTTTCAGGTAACCATAAGTCTGTGATGAGACTGTAGCTTTACTGAGATGTACTTATAACAAAGAAAAAGGTAGCTCTCGGACTTGACTCTATGGCAGCAGTAATAAATAAAATAACGATCCTCATGTTTGGTTAAGTCTCTTTGTGTGTTAAGTTTTAATGGAATCCGGCAAAAACTGTAGGTCAAATAGACTTTTGAAAGAATTTTACAGAAAAGTCTACTTTAAGTAACACCAACACACCATTCATCAAAATCAATGTACATAGTTATGTATCTCAGTGTAGTCTACTTGCGTATAAAGTTTCACTTCAATAAGACTAGAATTGATAGAGGAGTAGTCTAGAAGTGTTTAAAAAAAATCACAGATATTTCTATTTGTAGTAACTATGGCAACACCGTTCATAAAAAAACTACAAACAGAAATATGTATCTTATTTTAGTCTTGTTATGTATAAAGTTTTATTGAAATCAGACAAAAACTAAAGGAAGAGTGGCGTTTTGAAAGAATTTCCCCAAAATCTATTTTTAGTAACCATGGCAACACCATTCATCAAAATTAAAAGCGTAAATACTGAATTATATATCTTAGTCTAGTCAACTTGCGTTCCAAGTTTTCATTTATTGACATCGAACCAAAACTGTAAGAAGATAGAGCAGCATTTTGAAAAATTGTTTACAGGCTAACAGACGGATAGACGGCGGACACTTTACTATCGCATAAGCTTTTCTGGCCTCTGCGCAGTAGAGCTAAAAATGTACAGTTAATGACAGCTTTTGAAGAGGAGTTATTATAAGCTTAAGCTTTAAAAAAAATAGCAGCTTGAAGAGATATGTATAAATGTACTTTGTGCTGCAATCAGCTGATTCGTGTCAAGTTTTATAACTTATCGTTCTAATTAGATCAATGTATACGTCCATTGTGTACAATTTATTTTCCATTTCCGGAACACGTAAAATTAATTCTTATCGCGATTGGTGGAGTTTTACAAACAAATTAGTAATTCAGCCTTTTTCTCTTGTGAGGCTTCCAAGTATCGGACATGACGATTCCGGTCCGAGTTGATTAACCGTAGAACACCATCAGCAATTACCTATTTTCGCCAGTTTCAGTCTTAAGCAGTTCTCATCGGGGAACAATGATCGATAGTCAACAAAACTAAGAACTTCGAAACCTGATTGTAGGCGATATGATAAACGTATGCCTGTGCGTTTGAGGCGAGCATTTTGCAATTAAAAGCAACAACGAAAAAACCGTAAGTGATTATTTTGGTAGGGAATATTTGTACACTTCTACATGTATATTTTCAGGATCTGGAGAATTGCATCTAGCTAATAGATAGCATTAGTTAAAGAGTCGAGTGATCAATATAAAAGTTTGTGGTTTTCCTATGCATGGATATTTCTGAGTTCTTTTTAAAATATATATTTAAATGAATACATGCTTAATAGATTAAATAAAGAAATACTTCTGAATAGGGTATTGAAAATTCTTTTTGCTTAAACAACTTCACTAGAAAATAAGAGTTTGGCAGAAAAAAATACGGGAAATTTATTAAAGAAGATGAGAGAACAAGGCAGGCAAAATGCCTATGGTGCGACAAATAAGAAGTGAAAAATTAAATCTATATATATATATATATATATATATATATATATATATATATATATATATATATATATATATATATATATATATATATGTATGTATGTATATATATATATATATATATATATATATATATATATATATATATATATATATATATATATATATATATATATATATATATATATATATATATATATTTCATTTAACATTACCGTAAACTTTGCGTAAAATCTCCACAAATCGCAACAATATCTTAAAGATTGAAATTATTCGTCTATGAAATGCATACATAAATGTACATCAGAGATGTAAAAAAAAAATATCAATTCTTCATATTAAAACACAAATTTTCCATGTGAGTGGGTCTTTGCTTCATTTTTCGAAAGATTATACTCAAAGTATGCGTAAGAATAGACATTCTTCGGTTCCACAACGATAAATTTGATAGGTTGCTTACAATGTTAAAATTCTGAATTGCATCCTAATTTTACATTTTTGAATTTTTTTTTTTTTTTTTTTTTTTTTTTTTGTTATTGTCATATAACACTAAACAAATTGAGTGAAATTGATGATTCTAACCCGGTTCCCCTTTAATGTATCAGTACTTTGATTAACAGTTCACCCTGTTTATATAGAGTCTTGTTAAGTGTTAGACTTTGAATCAAACAGTATCATATCCTTTCAATAACTGGTCACGTGGTCAATGTTATGACAAGCACTGATCAATCAACAAGTAAATCTCCCGAACACAAGTAACAGTCACAAGAAATTTCTGACATAATTAAGATCTCTCCTCCCTGACCCAAGAAGATGTGCGTTTGTTATAAATGGATTCATTTCCTGTCAGAAGGACAGACATGAGGCTTGCCTCTTTGGGATAAGTAGTAACCCTCCACTGCTTTTGGAGAATCTTAATCAATCATATTAGGCCCTGACACCCAGCAGATAGACCTAATACCGATCATTAACGCTGCATATCCACAGCCAATCCCTAAAATACAATCAGGGAATATGTTATCCGGATAACAGATAATTTCCCTCAGAACTTGCTGTGTTCCATGATAATGTAAGAGTAGCAAATTATGAGGCCAGATATTTAAATACAAATCAAATTATTTAAACAAAATACACAATTATTTAAACAAAATACACACAGCCATGTACTCTCTAGTAATTCACAAAGACATGTATTTAATACTCACAGTATTGTAACACTTTTTTGTCAATTCTTTATGAATAAAAACATCTTCAATTGCCCCGTTGTCAAAAGGTTTTACATAGGTATAAACTTTTTTCAATAGCCTCATTTATTGTCATAGATATTTTAAAATATAAAATGCTTTCTTCGCTTGTTTAGAGACTGAGATGAACACTATGTTGCAACATAGCAGAAAAATTACATATAACCCGCGTAAACATGTTAAGATATGTTCAATAATTGCAACCATTCATCCCTGTATTAACAAAGAGAGAAAGACATTTTATTGTTTGTATTAATGTAAAATGTGAAGAATACGAACAGTGATCAATCTTATAAATCCAGTAAACAAAACGAATTGTGAACAGGGCAAAAACACGGACCCCTGGAAAACCCAGAGGTGGGATCAGGTGCCTACAAGTATAAGGAGAAAGCATCCCCCGTTGACGGTCACAACCGCCTTGAGCCCTATGCATTGATTAGGTATACGTAGTACTCCTTAGTCAAATTTGGTATAAAAATTTCCTTCCATTTGACCTTGATCATAGTAAAGGATGGACTATCCCCCCCCCACCCATTTTTTTCTTCGTGATCGGGAGATCTTGAGTTCGAATCTCGGCCGCGACTGACCTAAGTCGATAAAAAATGTGTAGCAACTGTTCCTTCGCCATGCGCTCGGCACTTTGAAGTGAAAGTTGCGGGTCCTTCGGATGAGACCTTAAAAACCGAGGCTCCGTGTCACGGCAGGCGTTGGCACGATAAAGATCCCTCACTGCTCAATATTAATGGCCCTGAGTGCCGAGTAAAGGTCAAAATTTGAAGCCCTTCACCGGTATATGGTGACGTCTCTATATGAGTGAAAAATTCTCGAATGGGACGTTAAACAACATACAATCAATCAATACCAAATGGTATCAAACATGTCAGACAAAATACGACTAGGTTATAGTTAAAAACAAGGGCATCATAACGACCATAGAATTTGCAAGAACCTGACTTTAAACGGGATTGTTGAAATCCTTGTGATATCGACATACCTGTCAGTAGCTTTCAAAAGAGATAAAGGTGAAACTATTCAGCAAAGGTAACTATAAACAGAAAAATATATTACCTGTATAATAATTTAGAATTGAAAACAATTTATTCGAATGCATATATTTAGATTTAGACACAAAAACTTTAAATCAACTATACTTCGATAATAAGCAAATTGTTGTTTTGCCAAATGCATCATTGATGAAATATAGAGATAACGAACAGTATTCAAGCTCAAAGTCCATTTAGACAATACAAATCGGGAGCAGAGCAAACAAGGACCTCCAAAAACATCAGAGGTGGGATCAGGTGTCATGGAGGAGTGAGCATCCCCTGCGACCGGTCACGCCCGCCGTGTGCTTCTTGTCATGATCGGGAAAACGGGAAAATCCGTAGACAATTCAGTGTGCAAATAATAGCCTAACAACTAGTATGAAAACGTCAGTCAGCATTAGACTAATGATAGGTTGTATTTGCTGACGTCATTGTATCGACCTTAAAACTTGTGAAATGATGACTTTAAACGAGACTGTTGATGTCCTTGTTTCATCAACATGTTTGTCAATAGCTTGCCTCGTTTCTGAACG